AAAATTTAAGACAAATGACTTAACATACAATAACCTATAATTAAAATAAGAACAAATCAGGCTATTTTCTTCTTCTTTTCTTTCTTAGTCATTCTTGATAGTGATACGGAAAAGGCTTAAATCCTTATGTAGCTATATTACCGTCTTATTTTCCATATCACTATCAAAGAATGACTAAGAAAGAAAAGAAGAAGAAAATCTGTTTTGTTCTTATTTTAATTATAGGTTATTGTATGTTAAGTCATTTGTGTTAAATTTAATGTCAGAAGAAGTATCTTAACGACAACTTATTTCGTACCGCGGTAATTGAAATTGTTGATTTATTAATCTTATCTATGGCTACTACTACTGCTCTGATAAGCGCTAGCAGCGAGAAACTTCCTCTTGTTATTGATGAGTTTTACACTAATATTAAAAAAGATACTATGAGTAATAAATGATGTGCGAAATGTACAGTATGTTCAATAGTGATAAAAGATACGACAAAGACAACGTCAAATTTTGTTAAACATCTGCAGACAAAACATCTTAAACAACATGATGAATGGAAACAATTAAAAACAAAGGAGAATCCTGTTTCTCAACAAAGATCAATCACCGACATATTTGGAGAGCCGAAAAGAAGAAAAACATATCCTTCATCTCATTCTAGTCAAAAAGAACTATCAGTGGGAATCGTGAAACATTTAATTGTTGAAATGGGATTGCCATTATCATTAGTAGAACGGAATTCATTTAAAATGTTTATGAAACTGGTTGATAATAAGTATAAATGTATTAGTCGACGACATATAACACGATCAATGTTACCAAGTAAGAAGATTATTATTACAGAAACTTTCTATGCACCATGAAAGACAGACCTCTGAACAGATAATGAGGTTAAACCTAACTCAACCTCAGTACTGATTTTGTTTTCTTTTTTATAGGAATGAATCAAAAAATTATTAAAAAATTGAAAAGAATATGTACTGATGCAAAAAGTGTTAGTTTGACTCTGGATGTATGGCCTGATAGACGATTACGAAGTTATTTCGGTATCACCATGCATACAATTATTAATAATGAATTAAAATGTTATTTATTGTCATTTGAACGTTTAAAAGGAAGACATACTGCAATCAATATATTAAATGAATTTAATAAAGTGATAAAATTCTACGAACTGGAATCTAAACTTGTAAGAATTGTCACAGACAATGCCAGTAATAATACAGTTGCATTTGACAATATATGATTACCAGGATTTTATGAGTATTTTAATGAAGATGGTGATGTTCATAATAGTGATGATGAGGAAGATAATCAACAATCGATCACAGTATTAAATGATGGCCAAGTGAATGATGATGACGAAGGAGAAGAAGATAATTCTGAGAGTGAAATGGCAGGTGGAGATGAAGATGATGAACTAACAAAAGATAAATCTGAAAAAATTAGTAAAAATAGTAGCATCGATGATCTTCCTGATAATGATTTTTCTTATTTCGCCAATATATAAACCAATGAACATCTACGTATCCCTTGTTTCGCTCACACACTTCAGTTAGTCGTACATGATGGTTTAAATAATTCGAAGTCAGCGACTACTGCGTTAGCAAAAGTAGCGGCAATCGCCAAGTTTAGTCACAAGAGTTCAATATTTGCTGATCGTTTGGAAAATATTAAATTGTCTATACCCACAGCAAATGAAACAAGATGGAATTCCCAATTTTACACATTGAAAGCTGTTTACAATATCCCTCATAGTGAATTAAATATGATTTTGAATGTGAGTATTCACTTACGATCGTTAGATATCATTGCCTAAAGTAAAGAGATTTCTGTGTAGTCTATTGTCTATATGATATTTGAATTGTTTAGGATTTAAAAAAACCTGAATTAATTCTCTCATCAACCGATAAAACAGTATTAACGGGATTTATACAACTATTAGAATTATTTGAAGAAGCAACAATGGATGCACAAAGTGAAAATCATGCTACTATTAGTTGTGTAGCGCCTTGTATCCTTTCAGTTGTTCACTCATTGAATAGCAAAAAGTGTGATCACTTGGAAAATATGAGAGTAAGCCTATTATTATCTATGAAAGCAAGATTCAGTGGTCTACTCAGACAATTTGCGATTGATGTACCAAATGATCGATATGTGATGGCTGAACGTTTTGCTGATCCAATATTTCTTCTAACACCAACCCTAGATGTTCGATTCAAATTACACTGGCTGAATGATATTGGTTATATCGAATGATATAAAAAGGGATATAGTAGAAAAAATTAAAAAATTAATTTCTTTAGTTGACAGTCAAGATACTCGGCGAGATATAGGAAAAGAAACATTAACTGACACAAATAAGGAACAACAAACAAGTGATGCAGCTTATTCTCCAGCCTGCGGGAAACGAAAACTCTCAAAATTATTTCCTTATCTTGAAAATCCGTCTAAAAGAATATTAAATATCAAATCAACTGTATCAGAAGAGCTAGAAAATTTTGGTAAAGAACAGAGAATGGACAATGATCTTATTTTAACGAAACATCAATCATCTATCAAAATCAGCTCTAAAATATTTTACTGTCCCTGCAACGTCCGCACCAATAGAGAGAATTTTTTCTCAAAGCGGCTTTATCATCCGCCCACATCGTTCAAAGTTATCAGCATCAACGTTATGCGTGTTAACATTTTTCAAATGCAATAACGATCTTCTAGAATAATGTTTCATTCTTGTGTGTTCAGATAAAGTAAATCAAATAAATAATAAACAGTAAAATAAAAAAACTAAAAGTAGAACCTAATTCTCCTTCAACTGATAGCCAGAAAGATATTGAAGATGGCTATTGTTAGGCAGCTAAACCTTTTTTCATGAGTATTCTCGTCTTTTAAAAAATTTCATGCTCGAGTATTTTCTGAAAAGTACTCGAGTACTTTTTAGAAAATACTCGTACTCATACTCGACGTCCAATACTCGTACTCGTACTCGATGCCCACTACTCGTACTCGAGAATTTGCGTACTCGCCCATCTCTGTTCTCCTGGAATATTGAAAATACAATTAATCACCAATAAACAATATAAAAAGAAAGATAACAAGTTCTATTTGCTAAATCGATCCAAAATTTCATTTCCGTCTGCTCTGATCCATACGTGAATCACCTCAAGACAAAGAGGCGCAGTTTCGGTTGACGTTCTTTGTGACAATCGACTTATTTGGACGAGTACGAAAGATTCTGTCAGATTAACAGATGGATCGCACGTGTTAAGCTTAACCTCTTTTGGTTTCGTAATCGAAGATGATGCACTAGGCGCAGGAACAACGTTAGTCATTGCAGGACGAAATATTTGACTCTGTGAGTGTCCTTGCGAAACGGGTTCTTGATGCACTGGCGCACTTGGGACGAAAGCTAATTGCGGTATGGCAACAGTCGACCTCGGATTCTTTGGTGGTCGAAAGAGTGAAAGCAAATAGTTTCCGTTTGGCGGAACAGACTGGGAATGTATCGTCAGTGGCTTGTCGGCTGCTTTCAGTGTCATCGGTTTAGGTGGTCGAAACATTGATAGAAGATAATTATTCGATGAAGACATTGATGATCTGTTTTTTGCATTATGGATGTTACCCGTGTTTAATTCTACATACAAAAAGTACTATTCAAAAAAAGTCTGGTTAATAATCGCTACAACACTAACCAGAAATCGCTCGTACTCCGCAAGAAATGACATTTTTATTGGAGCTTGTTACATTAATTTGGGACAACTTTTTGTTGCAAACTGGATCCAAAACCAGTAAAGCACGCTCATTAGATGCAGTTTTTTGTGTGCAGCGTTGTTTTAATTCAGTCTGATCTAGTTTCGTTACGTTTTCATTGTTAACTTCAATAATTCGATCGTTCACTTTTAGACCAGCTGCTTGAGCCGGTGTATTATCAAAAACATCACTTATGATGTGACAATCAGGTGTATTTTTATTAGCCTTTTTCAGCCAAAAACCATAAGCTTGAAAAGCAGGACGCAACTGCATATGACACAGACGAGGGACATGTACAGTTGTGTCAACGTCGTTGCTTTCAGGTACTCTTTGCCAAAAAGAAAAAACATATTAAATTCTGTTACTTAAACATCTTGGTTTCTTACTGTAACAAGTTCATCATGTATGGGACATTTACATTTGTCTTTCGATGTTGATCTAAGTAGTATAGACGGTGTGGAAAAAACAGCAAGAATTTTAGTTCTGTAGATTAGTACCAATAAGACAAAAATCTTGTTCCATATTAGAAGAGACCGCCGTTTTCGGCTGTGAATAGCGATTCTGATCATGAAATTGAATCTCATTGCCACTTTCGCTATCTTGACGCAAATTCGTTGCTATTTGACTCAGGACAGCATTCAGGGTGGGTTCTGCGACTGACGAGGATAATCCATGAACAGTTGAAGTTGCAGCTTGATCTGAAATCTCATTGTGGGCTAAAGAGAGGCAATTAGATCACCTATCGATTCACTTTAAAAATTTAAGACAAAATTGTCAGCTTACGATGGTACATCTTCTGAGAATACATCGTGTAAATTAATATTATTTAATAATTACGTTAGGAGAGTACTACAACGTACGCGACTATTATCAAACTATGCTCCATTTGCATTTCTTATCTTGACCATCTCTTTACCCACATAAAGAGTGAATTTTTTAATATTAGGTGAAAGCAGTCTGGAAACCTTAATTTTCGTAAAACTGGATTTTCGGTATTTTTAAAAGTTTTTCTAAAAACAAATATATCCATGAAGTTCAGCATGGTCGATTACCCAT